AAGAAGGGCGTTTAGGTTTATTTAAGGGATTTGGAGCTTTGTTACTTCAAACATCATTAATAGTAATTTTGTATAAAGTAGTGAAAATAAGTCTTGTAAAAGTGGTTGATGCTTATGCTACTACTTCATCTAACCAATCATCACAGGCTGTAATTAATAAGCCAAATAATTCAATTAATACATTAGAGCAGTCCAACATACCAGATTTCAAACCTTTAATGCGATCAACCTCATTTATGATGTAAATTTTGTTTTTAATTATTTTTAATTTATATCTTACTTTATTAAATTTGTTACACTCACATTGAAACACTGATTTTAGTCATATAACTTTAAAAAAAACATGTGTCCTATTGTCCTATATAATTGTAATAAATTATAACATTCAAATATGTAAGCACAATTTGATTTCAAACTTCTACCTGCGCTGACAAATATCGCTCTTTACTTTCCGGTATCAACAGTGACCTTTTCCTAGCTTATATATATGATCTAACTCACGACAATGTTGACTTCTTCAGGAGGCTGCAATAACTTAGGTACCTCTAGATCGTAAATCCACCAGCTTCAAGGTACCTACAACGAGAAGACAACCTATTATTGATGAATGTTCTACATATCCCAAGGATGAATAAGGATATTAAGAAAACTAAGAATAATTTAAATCCAATTTTTTGTAATCTGAAGTCGATCATCTACAATCTGCCGCAATCAAATATATCTAACATTAGTCACGATAGAAATTACRACTCAACTGAGTTTAATTTCGACACAAGCATTAGTCCAATTGTCACTACTCACGGATGATATTTCAGACACAGAATAGATTAAATTAAATTAAATTTATTCTGTGGTTCAGATATGGTCATCCAATTATTGATGGTTGATGCTAACTGCTAACCTACTCCCATTCTCGGATTCATATCCGTGCCCACGATACATTATAATTGACGCTATCGACTAACAATTGCATCACATGAAGATAGGCAAATTTATACATTGAAATTAACGTCAATTATTATGTCTCTTAGAAATCTAGACCTAGAGTTTAGGCCACTACATCTATTCCTTCAACACAAGTTTTTTGACTACCTATATCAGTCAATGTTGGAATTGGACTTTCACGGTCTAGATTCAAACTATCACGTTGAATCCTTCGTCGCATTATTTCGCGTCAAGTTAATGATAACTTGTGATCCTTCATTCTAGTTGAACTCAAATTCTCATCACCTTATCTACCTGGTTTTATGTATTTAAATTTACAAAGTACATATCATAATTTCCCCCTGT